AATCGGTGCCTTGTACCAATACAATTCTTTCAGAGCTGATGTCTGGTTCTTGGATTGATTAACGTCACGGACATGGATGGGCACCTGAGAACATAAGGTCAGCGTAAGGATTTTCGAAGACCGCGATCTGCTCCATCCGTTACACCCATTGACATCACAAAAATGGCCCACGGGTTCGTTCACGCAATTGTCAACAGGGACATCTCCCGATTGGCAGATGAACGTCAATTGGCAGGTGGAGGGAGGCGACTAGCGACGGTCAACTTCGTCGGCAGACCATGTTAGCTGCGCTTACAGCGATCGCAGCTCCTTTACTCTGGATGATCAGATTGCATTTGATTCCCCAACTAGAGAGGAATGGCCTAGAACTCATCATCGGTGGTGGTGAAGCTTTTCCCACAAGTGCTGCGCACGTTCGAGAAGATCCAATCCCATCCCCACCGCGAAGCATATTCTCATCGTCAAAGCTCAAACTTCAACGATGATTGTCAAACTCTCCGCTTCTTTGACAACTGTTCCTTCCGAGTTGAAAGCCTGAAGCGTCGGTTCAACACCGTAGTAAAATAAATATATCTTTCTCTCGTTCACCGGACTCCAAAAATCTGACGCTGGCGTGGGCCAGCATCTTGCGCGAGCAGCTGCTGCGAACCGAACATCACCTGCATAAGAGCATAAACTGCAACTACCTCACACAAGTAGCTCAACCGTCAAAGGGCAGAAGACCTTTTACCACGACCAGACGACAAAGCGCGGTAAGAATGCCATGAGCTGACTTTTCTCGGTGATATGTCGCCAGCTTTTCTGGTATAAATAGCCATCAAATGGAGAATGAGTCAATATGTACGGAGTACCAAACAAAAGTTTGTGCCTTGACCACGATGCGCTTTTGGCATTTAGAGTGCTAAAGTGGTTGGGATATAAATGTCTTACCTTTTCGTTACCACCTGAGGAGACAGTCTAACATCAATTCTAAAGTAGTGTTTGTCTCACTCTGTCTCCACAGGGACATATATTTGTGTTGGAATGAATCGATACACATGTTATGACATGATACCGAGTCTATGTTTGACATAAAATAATAATAAATTATAAATATTTTAATATAATTATCGAAAAATGACAAACGTTCACTTTCTGATACCGTTTAACACGGTCTGAAACATTCCACAATCTAACGTCAGAACCGAGGAAGATAGACCTGACATATCTCGACCTTAGCGGAATCTAGCACCAGCTTTTGAAGATAAGTTTAAAAAGACATGTACTGGAGGAATGGACGGTGAAGAGTTGAGTTTTCAAGTCAAACGATGGAGCTGCAAAGAGAAAAAAAACGAATGACATCATTCATTCCTTCAAAATCCCTCGAAGCAAGACATGGGAGCATGGCGCAGTAGTAGACTTCACCTAGCCCAAGACTGACAGGCATGCCCGACTGAATATAGTGAGTTCACAATCGTGAGATTGTGAACGGACATTCGAGAGAACTCTATAAATTTGCAACTTGTAACTGTAATATTTTTTTATACTGTAAGAACTGTAATATTATGTCAAACATAGCTCGTATCATGTCCAACATCCGTACCAATCCATTACGACACAAAGCCATGCATATAGGCACAAAAGATTCATTCGGGGTCAGAGATTATGGTGAGCACTAGCCTATCACGACACAAATCCATGGATCCCCAGATCCCTGGAGACGAACAGGGAGCATCAAACTTTCTTCTGCTTTTCATCCACATCTGAACTTCTTGCTTGATGTCCAACAACTGCTTGATGTCCACACTTCCGGCGGAATTCGTCCTCACGCCTCAGAACTTGTTGAGCAGAAGAACCTCGGACTCTGGATCCAAGCATACATGCACGAGTGAGAACGTGGAATCTTGTTTCAGTCTGGTGCTTTGTTCTCCATCTCTAGTGGCTGTGCATCCATCCTCAAGGCCTGCTGAACAATGTGTCTGCATTGTAGCACAACTCAGACCAAGCAATGGAGATTGTGTTTGTGTTAGTTAGTACCTTGTACTACTTGTTACGTGCTTGTCTCGCATCCATCTTCACAACTTGTTGAGTGCGCAGCTCCCCAGGCCTGGATCGAAGCTCACCAAGAGAGTAATCTGCATAAGTGACCTATATGCAGGTGTATATATACTTGTTAGATTCAGTTGGAGTGTGCATGAGGTCAATAAGAAGCGCTGTGAACATTTAAGCAAGATGACCTTGAAAGTTCGGCAAATATCATGTGGGAAAGGGAAGAAGAAGAAAATCAGGGACCTAGAAGACTTGTCATGCCGAGACTACTTCAGGAAATTTCACGTGTGGAAAATTGCAACCACAGCTATTACTCAAAGACTTAATCGACTAGAGCTCTCTTAAGGACCTCGAGCTTCCTAAACCCACTGAAAGTGAAGAAATTAGTTAGTGCAAGAAAAAACTCTCGCAGAGAGATTTGAAGATCAAACCTGAAGGGGAATACCTCCTCAAAACCACAGCAATAAAGTATGTTATGTCTTCAGATATAGCTCTAAATACGGTACCTGGAAATTAGTGAGTAATCAACGGAAAGATTTCCGTTTGTTGGAACTTAGTGTTTGAATGTTATCGACCTTCGATAGCTCGTTTGCCTAATGATTGAAGAGCTTACCTCATCCTTACATCGCATCTAGGAAATGTTTGATCGGGGAGACTTCCTTGTGGATGGTATATGCCTTGAAGTTCTTCCCAAAGACACGGACCTCCTTTCTGAAATGGGAAGGGTCTTATTTTATGATTTTTCATGCAGCGTCTCTCATTTACAACGAGTTGACGTGACCACACATCCTGAAGGTGCAATGGTTCGGGTCTTGAGAGAGATATTGATCAAACTCAATTTAGGAGCCATTGACTTGGATCACTGGTTTACGACAAATAGAAACGTCCTCCACAATTTCCAAGGTTTGAAGTGGAAATAAGAGGACAGCAACTAAAAAGTTGTTGGAGTAGGAAATTAATCTTCCGGCAACAAATTCAGCATTTATTTGTGTCTCCGTGATCGACATTCACCATGGTGCATAGCGAAGGTGTATACGAGATGCATTCCCGAGCGAGAACAATAACTTTGGTCTTCTTCTTTGCAAGTGGGCAGGAGTCTTAATTCAGTTTTCATGAAGTACAGGCCCTCTATTCGTTTCTCTTGCGCAGTAAGACTTTCTGTAAGGCATACCTATGCCTAGATTACTATCTTCTCACTTAGTGTTGAAATCCATGGCCACGATCACAATCGAAGACTTGTTTGGACAGATTTGTAAGCAGTAACAGTCTCCTCTCCCGCCAGGATATGATTTACGTAGGATATAGGGCCCTCCATTCAACAACTCTGGCTCCGTTTTCAGCTACGACGTGTTCCCTTAGTGCTTGCGTTTCTTTCGTCCCACTACGAAACTCGAGTCTGCGGACGGGCCTTTAACTTTGAGCATTTCGCCCTCTGGAGGGGAAAACTACAAGCTACTCATTCACAGGAAGCCAGAGCCCGTGGATCCCGCCTGACCTTCGAGGTCCGAGTCAAAATCTCGTGCAGCCACTTCGACCTGCAAATGGGTGTACCATTTGTGTCCACGAGAGGGCCCGACTTTGCTTTCGGGCCCACCAATGATCCGATTCTCAGTCCTAGGACTCGGGAGCTCGCTACGGTCGACATCTGGAGTTCAGAACAGAGCTCAGAGTCACCAGTCATTTACTTCCCGAGTATCGCAACGACGAAAAGTTCCGATATTCCTAAGTCCGGATCTTCCATTCTCCTCAGAGTAGATGCGCAGCCGTCAGTTTAGCGCTAGTACTGGTGGGAAAATCGTAGACAGACAGACATCTTAGTGAGGTTGGTGAACGATGGACTGTCGGTCCACTCTCTCGATTCATAATGACGCTAGCCTTTTGAGGTGTCGGGTGCGTTCATGATTCAGATCATAAGTGCATGCCGGGTCAGGTGATTCTCCACAAACAACTTGCAGCTAAAATTACCATGGACCATGGAAACTTGTCGTTGTCTTCCAGGAACAGTATAGTCGCTCTTTGAGAATCGTCAACTCAGGTTTAACCGAAGTTCAGAGGATCCAATCATACCAGGTTTAACAAACTCTTATTACAAAGGGAAGCATTAATTACTTGTAGATTTGACCAAGCGCACCTCGTTTCGCCCTCGCTTCGTATGGATTGAGCAAGAATGTGCTGGACATGACAGAGTTATCAAATTCGGCACTCTCTCAAGTGCTAAATGAAGCCAAAGCGTTGTTATCTACATGAAAGTATGTGTGCTGCCGATGCTGCCGATTGATGCTCGCGACGTGATTCACATTCGCTCCGAGATTATTACAGTGCCTATGTTGTAGGGACGGCACCTTAGTACGGTAGAGGATCACTCGGTGAGAAACGCACTATTGGAAGTCATGCGAGCCTTGATAAATCAACAATGTTGAAGATTTTGAAAGAACGAAAGGATACTGCGTTGCTAGTAGAAGTGTCCGGCTAGCTTCAAGATGCGGACAAGTCGGCCCAGAGTTCAAGAGAAGGAAACGTGTATAGATAAGCCTATCCACGGTTCACCGCAGCCGAGAGCTGAATGCATGCTCAGTAGCAGGGCAGATGAAATCGAAGACATGTAATCCTCAGAGTGCAGGTTTCGTCCAGTTTCGACTGGTATTGAGAAAAGTTTCTGTCTCTATCTCTGTTGAACACAGAAGATTGGAATCTCGTGAATTCCTCCGTACAAGAGTGCTAGGATAAAACAGGCCAATGGCTCGCTGTATTCGGGTGTATTCACACAGATCTGAAGCGTTGACAGAAAAAATGGACAATCCGACAGTGGAATGCATGGCCGAGTAAAACGCATCGATTGACATTCGACAGAGCAAACCGGAAGAAATTCTGACAATAATCTGTACATTTATGTAAAAAAATGTGGAACATGGCACAATTCGATTCCGATGCAAAATCGGATTTGTTTGGTACTACATGACTACGGAACTATGTGCTGAAATGAATCTAGGTGCAATGATGTGCACCACAAAGAATGTCAATCATGGTCACAGGAACCCTGTATATCTGTTTCAGGTCATATCTTATGTACAACGATAATCTAAGAATTCGCACGGTACCCAGCTGATTCTACATGGCATGAACTGAATCTAATGCCCTGTACATTCGGATATTCAACTAAGAGCGTAATTAGGTTCTTCTGCTTTCGTTCTCCTTCGCCATCGAAGAGGCCCACCATAGTCACACCGCTTGAGTTTCACCAGTGCATCATAATGTACAGATTGAGCTGCATAGGAGATTGATCGGTCGGTCACATGCAAGTGACTTGTTAGGATCTTATAGCAGTCATTTGCCATTAGATACAATCATCCACTTTGACTCTGCAGGTTCAGGGAGTCAACATATTCTTCCGCTGTCGCTCTAATCAGCTGAAGACATGGCGCATCAAGCCAGTTGCAGTGGTCGCTCTTTGAGCTCAATCATCATCATTCATCGCTTGGAGGAGCCATGGAGGAATGGTAGTGGTGTCAAACGCCGGTAAGGTACGATTCTGCATGAAAAGTAGAAGCACTTTATTAGTGACAGTCGGGAGCAGTAACATTGTCGAGAAATTCAGGCAATTCTGCTGTGCACATGATTCATCGAGTATTCACATAAAACAATGACGAAAGCTATCTACCTCGTCAGGATCCTTCTCGAAAGGCATGATGGATGTGAAAGAAATCCGCTGACTGAGATTACTGCTCTGAGATCTCTCTCTCTCTCTCTCTCTGTGCAAATGTGCAAGAGTTGTGCTTCGGACTAGCTCTGCAAGTTCCCTTGAATTGGTCAACTGCAGAACAGTGTGTTATGAGCCTTGCCCCTCCCCACCTCAAGTATGCAAAGGTGCTGAGATGTTTTGGTGGCTTGGTGGATGCCTGTCTCGAGTATTTATATCACAAGGTTTCAATCTCGTCCGTTTCCCGGACTGGCGTCTTGTGCCTTACGCCTTACGCCTTACGTGGTAGAGCAAAGCCAAATTTTGCCGATGTCCATTCAACCCAGGAGGCCCACCACTTAATATTAAATTATGCGCGTATGCCTCCACGCTGCTAGTGGTTGAAAACAGAGTACACCACACGGTCTAGTACGACCACTGCCGCCTGGAAACAAGTGTCCAAGCACACGATCTTGCAGAGGCCCGGCCACGCAAACTCAGCTCCGGGCCTGTGAGAATTTACGGAGCATGTACAGGCCCTCGCTATCTTCTCTCTGATGCGGCACTGTCCTTCTTTGGTTGACTAAGATTACTGGTGCCTGGGGCTGCGACAATGATTCCTCGCAGTTGGCCGCGAATATGCTCACGTTCAGTTGATATTGCAGTCTTAAGCGCATCCGTGATGAGTGAAGGCACTTTGCTTTTGTGGATGATCCATGGCAGCTTGACCATCTTTGACATTTTTAGCACTTACCCGTGGCGCTCCGTAGCCTGTGGCGTGTGCAATGAGACGAGATTTTTCCAAGGTCTTAATCAGCGGTTTGTTAAGCTCACCAGGATGAAGGACGGGAGATGGCGCGTAGCAACGCGTTGTACTGGACATTTCTGCATGAACTTTTCCACATTCATTCTTTCTTATGAAGAGGAGTTCGACCACAATGTTCAACTCACAATTCTTCCCGCGGATTTCCGCGCTGGCTGATCGCATATATAAGCCATGTTTGGTTCGGAATCAAAAGAAAGAAAGTGAATTTGTTCACGAAGAGGACCTTTTCGAGAATTCCATTGCTTTGGGACTTGGGAGCTGAAGTACGATCTTGAATCAATTGAGCCGACAAAAGTCTCATCTCTCGAGCTGTATGTGTTCATAATTATCCAACGACCGGAATACTCGATATAAACCCCTTGGCTAGAACAGAACACAGAATGGAATATTACTGAATCACTGGTGGGAAACTTAATATCCTTGACCTGAGAATGCAAAGAATCTGTACAGAGCTTCATTGTCTCCATGAGAAGAACCTAATGTGGAATTGTACAAACGCAGTGGTCAGGATCATCACCATTTCACTGTTCAAGACTTGTGTATGAAGATGAATATGAACATCTGAATGTTATGTAGTATTCGCGCTCCTCATACTCGGGGCTGCAAAGTACACCCTGATGTGGAAAGAATTGCACTTGCTCTGGAAGCCAGAGGTCCGCTTGATAGAGATCACTCTATCAATTACATTCAAAGTAATCTTGTCTTTCTTTGAGGTGGGCGATCATTGGAACATTAGATCAAAGTATCAGAACTTTCTAGTACTTGTATGCATAGAGTCTTCATTTATACGCAACAAAGTTTCGAATATCGTAGGTCTTGACACAAACCTGGCTCTCTCAATAATAACACTTTTACAGATTCTTTGCAGTGGAGTACAAATCGTAATCATGAATGTTTGTCGATGGACAGACGGACAATGAAACGACTCGATTTTAGTCAAATCCTTGCCTCTCGCGAGGTGCATCATTCCCAAAATCGATTAAGTTGCTGTACGAGATGAGTCCAGTCCGGAAAGGAAGCATTTCGCACGAGGGTGGAAAGTTTCACAGAAACCTGCACTTAACAAACTGGGGTCGTACTGGTGAACTCGTACACTTCTTAATGCAGGCCGACGAATTGAATCTATTGCGTGCTCCTGTTCGCTACCTATCAGCTAGTATACCCAAAATGGACCTCTGACAAACAGTACAGAAGTATGGTAATATTATAAAAGAGTCTAACCTGTGCAGAGCCGACCAAGAGGCAGCACGTTGTATGAAGCACAGACAGCGTTGATTACGATTAAAAAAGTGGAAGAAGAAAACAAAGTAACTGTACAGTCTGCACCAGGACAAAGGAAAACCTTTGCAGTACGTCGGTACAAAGATGAAGTTGCTTCGAATTCGAGGATCAAAGTCACCGTTATGCAAGCAAAACAAGCTGTCCCTCAGAAGAACCCAAGCTTCTGATGTAGCAGTTGTACCATACTCGTGGGCCTATCTCATGTTTAGCTTGTCTAATCACCTCAAGCTCCCACCAGTGGCGTGTTCGGAATGTGAACCGTGCCTAACATTTCATAGGATGCAACACAGTTAGAAAAATATCCCAGACAATGTACTTTCACATTACTCACCCATCATACTCAGACTATCTTCATCCTATTACTAGCACGTCCTGATGCTTGCTGCCCAGATAAAATTGTAACCTACAAGTGAGACACTTGAAGTGTGTTACCAGCATGGATACACAAGCAACTTTCATGAGAGCTAAGAAGGTGCAGGATTCATCATCCGGTCAAAGATTCGAGCTCATGATGCAGAACAATCATATCCTCTCCACTGAGAAGGTCACGGTCAAACTATGTCACGGAACTACTTTGACCGCATCATGCTACACTGCAGGACATGCTCCAACTGACCAATCTCTGGCTGCACGCACTTTGATCAAGATTTTCACCTAGCATAATTTGAAATCAAGAATCTGACATCTTGTTGCCTTAATTGGTTTTAAAGAACCCGGTCTTCCTGACAGCATGCCGCCGATGCTTGAGAAACTGGAAATTTGACATCCACAAGTCACGTGATGAATATTTCGTTGTATTGGTATATCTGAACACTAGTCGTGCTAGCGTTGATCCTTCTTTAAGAAGATTCAGGGGAGAAAGTCCTGGATCATGATCTGGCACGTGCCCATAGTCGGAATGAACAGTCTACATCGAAGCATGTGTTTTCAGTAGATGTATAACCTCATCATCTAAGAGAATATGAGCAGTCTGTGGTCAAGGTTTTGTAGGATCTTCCTGTCTAAAATCGGGAATGGGGACAACCTCACCGAAGTCAGATCTTCACAAGAACTCTAGCTCTCGATCTGCTCCCATTGCATTAGAAGTAGGGTAAGTATTGAACTTTTGTGCGCATAAAATGTCAAGGCCTGCGTATGGTAGCACAAGATATGTTCACTTCGTCTTTCAGATGCTATCTCATGTCTCGAGACGACCGAGTAATGTGTGGAATAGTTTTATGGATGTGAACAACCTGCAGGGCGCTAGCCCTGCAGTGAGAAACATGAATCTGGAGGCACCGGCCTCTAATCATTCGTATTTCATGCATAAAATTGCAAGTGCTAACAAATAAAATTCGGAATCTGGAGAGCATAAAAGTTTACATGGCGAGTAGAAGAAATCTTTCGAATGACTGAATCAAATATAGAGATGAAGGGCAATGTACTGTAACTTCTGAATGTCATCCATGCATAAGAACTGGCCTTCTACCCGGAATTAATCTGCCAATCGGTGACCTCTCTCAAGACAAACGATTGCTTCTAATGTAAAATATGGGCCTCTAAATTATAAGCCCAACAAGATGTGGATGTAGAGTGTGTTGTATCGGTGTTCCCACCGTACCTTGGTAAACTCGTTCAGAGAATTAGACTCAAGTCACGACGGAAATCCAATGAGCTTCAGGAGTATCAGCCCTGCGACGCGTATGTCCAAGGAGTTGACTTTGTGCCTACTACGACTGCCTTCGAGCCTCACGCGTACTGGATTTACTTTACACCACCGTCGTCTAGCCCGTGTGGCTGCATTCGTAAGCCTCACAGTCTGAGGACAAAGCATAAATAGACATTTATATTATTTAAAGGTCTCAGATTCTTTTGCTTTCAAATAAGCAAAGAACACACTGCTCGGTCGGCGAGGGCTTCGCTTTTACTCTCTCAATTTCAGTTCTCTGATTCTTGAGAACCGCGTCGATTTAATGCTCGGCAATATATAAAAACTGAACATAATGCCTCACTCGAGGTCTGAATTTAGGAACGACGCGGGTTGTAAGAGCTAACGAGAAAAGCTCGTAAGACTTGTCGCGCATTCGGCTTCGACGAAAGTCAAGACCACCGGGTACGTTCCATCGCCGAGCAGAGCTCAGAAAGAACGATTAAAGAATAATAGATCCCAGAGAACCATGAGTGTATTAGACTCCTCGGGAAGCCGAGGAGGTAGGTCGACATGCCGAGGATAGGCATCTGACGAAAGCATAATGTGGCATGCAGATTGACTTGTCTCATGTTCATGTTCACCTTGGACATTAATGATGCTTTTAAACATAAGTGTCAGCCAAGGGGTGATTTCGCGCATCTAAATAACAAAAGGCAAACTAACGAGTACTTTGTTAAATAATGCAAAAACAAACTAATGTATAATGTTGATGTAGGACCTCAGTTACTCCCAATTCTATCTTCATTTACAGGTTAGTGCTATGTGTAACATAATGAATATATTTATTATAACAAATATTTGCGAACTTATATATGTCTGTTTGGTAAACCTATTTTATGGTTATATCTTTGTGATGGATCTCTTTTGGAAAGACATGCAAGAATATGATATGGAAAATGTAATTAATGCCATATATATCTCCCTATAATGTTTGTAGGGTTTAGGTAGGGTTGTAGGGTAATGCTAGTCTAAAATGTTCTAGGATAAAGGCGTCGGGATTAAGACGACTTTCCCCACTTTCATTACAACTTTAAAGCTGCAACTTGATCCATGAATTCCTTTTTCGGTCCCAATTCTCCAAGTTCTTCTAACATTTGCGTTCACACAGGTGTTACCACCGTTAGCACTAGCAATTAGCAAGTTGCAGTGAAGGAGATATTGCAATTTGATTTACCTGGTGACGGCCTGCATTTATCATAACAGCAAATTGCATTTATGCAGGTTGCATTTGGACTATCCATAAGTCCGTCCAAAACGACAAACACTCAGTTATACACTTTACCAGAGCAGTGACAGCTGACTTGGTAGTACCTTCCTCCGTGCCTTTAATTGGAATTAAGTACATCGTAAGTTTCCGCCACAACAGACTTGATCGCTGCTAGATGGATTCTACAGTTGCATTCTGATA